CGGTTTTTTGGTCGGTTTTTTTACCGACCAAAGTTGGTCGGTCGACCTTGGTCGGTTTTTGCCTAATTTCTAGTAGTGTATTTCTAGGCTGTGTTTTTGTTGTAGTAAATACATTGTTAAAGGCAGAATAGGTCAGTAAATTCTTGTATTTGTTTCAGTTTGTCCTCCCGTCCCCGTGCTCCGTAAAGTTTCATCTAGAGACTTATAGTTGTTAAAACATACTATTTTAAACTCATCTATCGTTGACCTAGCTTATGTGGCATAGATAAGGCTGAGGTGGATAAAATGTTTGGTACACGCACTAAAAAAAAAAGCGTGAATACAAAGATTAAACAGAAAATGACTTAAATAGGAGAAAAAAGATTTAAAAAAAAGAAAAGAAAGAAAAACACAAAAAAACAAAAGACCAGCAAAGAACCCAGTTCTCTGTTGCTGCCATTGCCATAGCTTCTTCTTTTCATCATAATTAAAGATAGAAAATCATCAGAATTTCATTATGCAAAATCGTTAGGATAGGAACTTTGTCCAAAAAATCATCAAGAAGGATAGGAATTTCATCGGAACCTGTCGAAAACTCATCGTTGAAACCTTCGAACCATCAATTGCAATAAACACAATGGAAAAGTTTGAACCATCACCGGCGATGGAGACCACCGATGACCACCACAATATTTTCTTCCGCATCACCTTGCTGTAATTAAAATAAAAAAAAATCTTAGCAGTTCAAGTCAAATCGGGCAAGAACACCAAAAAGAGTGCGGATATGAAGAGCACAAACGAGGAAAAAATTCACGGGTTGCCCGAACCTGAATGGCGTGTAGGGTGCATAAATCAATTTTGGTTTGTGAAAATTATTGGGTTTTGAAGTGGCTGCAACTTCAATTATTTCCTCTTCCACTTTCGGTCCCTAGAAAAATTGTGGTGGATATTTACAAATCTGCTAGTATCTCTTGTGGTTGCTCGGTGGTCAAGTTTTAATGGGAAGGTGACTCAACTTATTATAGTGGTATTGGAGGGTGAAGAAGGTGAAAATGGTGCCTTCTTATTAATTAAAAAATAGAAAATGATGTGGCATATTCTATATGATGCGGATATTAATATTAACGTGATTGAGCAACACGCGGGGCAAAGGGGTTTAGAATAGTGTGTTTTAACAACTGTAAACGTCTAGATGAAATTTTACGATGTATATGAACTGGGATGATAAACCGCTACAAGTATAAGGGCCTGCTAGGCTATTCTGCCAATTATTAAAAGATGAATTGTATTCTCAAACATATCCTGCTACATGCACCCTACCATTATATATATATAAAATAAAAAAAAATGCCTTGGCAAAATAGAGCCAGTAATTACATCAAGTATAACCCGGCTTTAATTCGTCGTCATGCAAAGTGTCTATTCTGAAGAATTCCAGGAGAATCAAAACCGTCTAATCAACAAAAATAGCAATACGCAACAACACGCATAGATTGCACCATATCATAAGTGACGAAATTTGAAGAAAACACCGTTCCATGGAGCTGGCACATTTAATCACAGAGCAAGTAAAGTCAACCAAACTATTACCAGAGAAAGCAAGTAGCAGCAATTTAGAATACAAATTTAGGCCTTTCTCAATAAAATAAAATCAAATAAAACAATCAGAAAGGCCGCAGTGCAAACTGAATGAGTTTTATATAAGAGAATTTATAACCGTAATATCCAGATTAAACTGTAGTATTTTGCACACATTTCGATTAATTTTATGGTATCTGTTGCGACCAAACACACTCACGCAAGTATACGCGGTCGTCAAGTAATAAAGTGAC